TGACTTAAAGATTCAATAGGAAGAAATCTACATACATCTGCATGAATGAAAATTAATAGCTTGGTGGCTCTTATGAGAGAAATTTTTGGGATTTTGCTACATATTTGTTTTCTTTGGTAGCAAGTATGGCAATTTTGGTTTTCATTATAAGAAGAAAATATCTTTTTTTTATTAGTTTATGAAAAACAATGAAAGTTAGGCTTTTATAGTTTATATATCTTAAATATTTCGGCCATTATTTGGATAGATTGATAATATTAATTAAGCTATTTAGTTCTAGTACTTAATTAGTTTTAGGTGGATATCTATTTGTATTAAAGTCCAGGTATTCTAGCTTATAGAATCCATTTGTTTGCTCACAAGATCTTCTAGCTATTATTCTATGTGGTTTTTGAAGTGAAATGATCCTATATTTTGTAGAACTAAAAATACATAGACTTCCTAGGTTGTCAATTTGTGCTATTGAAAGTAAGTTTCTATGCAATTGAAAAACATAATAAACATCCTTCAGGGATTTTATTTGTTCATTAGGCAAAGATAAGTCAAATGATCCTTGCCTTATTATTACATGGAAGTGGCTTCTTATAGATGTGACTGTAATACTATTTGATGGATCTAATTTGGTAAATGCAAAATAGTTTTTTTAAAAATGACAAGAGACCTTAGAATCAAAGATCCAATTGTTGATTAATTGGCTGAAAGAAAGAATTTCTAAGGCATCTAGAGTTTTGACTTTACTTTATAAGTTTGATTAATGTTATTCATCCATGATTTCTTTTATAAATTTGACTTTTAGATTTTGAGATATAGTAATGTGATTCATAAAATGTCCTCTTGAAGTAAAATTTCTACTTATGTTTTAATGAAAGATGGATATAGAGGCCTACAATAGCAAGTAGTGTAGCTTGTTTTGACACATTGATAACAAGCAATGCTGCTCATTGCTAGTATACTCATGGTATTATGTTGATGGAACATATTAGAAGAATTGTGTTGATTCTACTATGATATAGGAGGTATTCTTTTTAGTCTTCTATTGTAAATATTATAAAATCTAAGCAACAAAAACTTATCATAATTTTTGCTTGTTTGCTAAAAGATTGCATTTGTTTCTTTCATATGTAGGCGATTCTATGGTTCCTAAAGAATGGAGATTGATTTCTCCAATTGGATCTATAGCACAAGCTTGTCAAAGTATAAAATATCACTTATTTGCTACATAAAGGTTGTAACTTCTTGGTATTCATTTATGTCTAGTTGTTCCTAATAATTGCGCACTACCATGATGTCTAAAGTTGTATTCATATGAAATAAAGTATTAAGGAGGTGCCAAGTCTTCCGTGGATTGGTGATGTCTATTATATTGTGACATAATTTAGAGATAAATGAGAGTTGAAGCATTGCCTTCACTTTGCATTTTTGGCAACATTGATTTTCTATCTCCATAGTATCTAAGTCTGAAATTTCTTTGGTCTTTGTGTATGTTGTAGGAGATGTGGTTGAACATGACATTGGTGAAAGTGGTTCAATTAAGTCCCATAAATCTTCTTTCTTAAAAATACTTTACAAGATTATTGACCAATACTTGTAATTCTTGGACCCAGTTAACATTGTTTTCTTTTAACAAATGGTCTTTAAGTTGCTTATGGTATTTTTGTCATGTGTAATTTAAAGATAACCAAATTAACTTGTAAACAAAGCAATGATGAGTATAAAACTAGTTCAATGATTGCTAAAAGGAAAATAATTTAGAGGAGATAATAATGATTAGAATACAAATACAATCATCAAAGTGAGCTTCCTACTTTGATATCATAAGAGAAATAGAATAGTGAAAAAAAAAGATAAAATAAAAATTCTAAAATCGGTGCATGTATATGTGAATGAGATGTACAAAACTTCAATGAATGTATATGTGAGTGAGATGTACAAAAGAATGTTTTAATAGTTTGTGGGGCAATTTTAGCACAATTTTAGTGAACAAGATGGTGCTTTTCTATTCTAGTTGTCATTTTTTAGTACAAATCTAATTATACACTTCTAAAGCAATTTGCTGCAAGGCCTTGCAGAGGCTTCACCTCCTCCCAAGTATCTTCCAAATTACACTTGCTTTACATATTCTATACAATAATTATATAATATAAATACCATGTATCATATATTAGTGTATAACATAATAGATGCTAGAGGATATACTTATATGAGTACATATACATGTCCTTTTTACTACACTATGGATTTCATTGTCTAGTTTGATTTCATTCATTTTCATTGTCTCCATTTGGGGTTTAGATTTTTAGGTTTTAGGGCTTGGGGTACTTATTTTATTACAAAAATAGGTGATAAAGACAAATTTCGAGTTTTTTTTGTTGACATTTTGGATTAGGATGTTAATGTTTTGTAGTTTTCACATTTAGGAGGGATGAATGTAGTGTGTTGAATGATCATAAATATATGAAAGAAAATGGCTTCAACTATTGTTATGTAGGAAATTTCAAGAAAAGCCTTTTTGTGAGTGAGAATTTTGAAAGCATTATTGGAAGAACTTTGAAGCAATGCATGTGTTTGCAAATAAATGTTACAGTGTGATGCAATTTTATCATGATTTTTTAGAAGTTGGCAATATTATGTGTTGCTATTTAAATTTGGATGTAGCCTATGTGCACTAAGTATAAGTTAACGTGCAATCTTAATTAAATTTAACTTTAATTTCTAAAATGATAAATAAAAAGAATTATTTCTCTAGCACCCTGTGAATAAATCATTGATTTTCATAACCATACCTAACAATGCATTGATTCTAGTTGCTACCCTTTTCAGTGTTCTATATCATTGGCTACAAATAAATGAAGACATCGATTGTAACATTTTTTTAGTTTTTTTGGAAATACTTTTTCAAAGTGTACAAATACCGATAATAAGACAATAAAAACAATAAAAAATAAGATGAAAAGGGAATAAGAATATTAATATGATACAATGTTGGAAAATTCGGACTAGCTATAGTAGCCTTATTTAGAGTAGATATAGGAGTGTGGTGAGTCATATCTAATGCTGTGAAAAACAAACTAAAATGAATAAAGGGACCTAGTGATTGTATATGAAGGAGCAGTCTCTGTTGTTCAGCACTCTTGTCCACCACTCTTGTCCACCACTCTTGCCTTAGCAGGTGTGAATAGAATCACAACATGATCTGCCTTTGAGATTTGCCAATGTCAGTTTGATAAATTTATTACTATCCTTTAAGATTTATTACTCATTGTGCCACATAATTAATGTTAAACAATACAAAAATAAAAAAAATCCTCAATTAAAGACTTAGAAACACCTCGAAGAATATGGGCTTTGGTAGATAGTACGTAGGGTACCTCAACAAATTCTTATTTATTTATTTTTTTCCGTTTATTTATCTATGTCTCTGCAGAAATGGGTTCCTTTGGTAGAAAGTGATATGCCTACAGAATTGACATTTTGGTGTAGTGCAAAAATAAAAACTTTCCATTACAAACTGTGCACAAGCAACGTGGAAATCACACTATAAGTGCTTTTCTCTCTTGGGTGTGATCTCACAAACGGAAAGGGCATGGCCACGAACGACATTTTCCTGCCACAGCTCTAGGCACACTGTGTACTAAAGCATCTTCGGATTGATCAAGCATTATTGGACTTATAAAATTGTGTAAAAAACAGATTTAAATATGTAGACGAAACGAAGAAAGCAAGAAAGATATTATGTGGTAGAAGAGCAATGCAGCTGTAGCAAACCCCCGGGATTTGTTTTGAATGCGTTTAATCTAATACTTTAAGTCAAATCATGCATAACGTGCACTAGCAGATACACTTGTCTATTATTGACGTAGAAGATTAGCTGATCTTCTATGGACGCTGAGCTCTTGTTCAGCCGAAACTGATCATGTCTAATAAATGAGTCGTGAAGATGAGGGGTGTGTGTCGATGCCATGCATGATTCGGCTTTACAAACAGGGTCATCGATAAATCTGCAGCCGAGCTGAATCTAGATACACCGAAATAGAATTGGCCGCTTACCAGCTTATCGATTTCACGTATCCTGTGCGAATATATCCTCTTCGTTACTGTTATTGCTTGATTTTTCTCTCGGTAATATTCCCACAACACGATTCAGTTGGATCAAGCTGTAAGACTCCGGAAGTTGGTTCTGTCCGTTGGAAATAAACAAAAGCTATGGGGTCGGGTTTATGAGGATGTCTGGATAGAACTTTCCGGGGTGTGGTCGCGATCGGATTAGGTTGCAACTACAGGGCGTTACCAGCAAGTTTTATGAAGTTTGGAACAAACTCAAACGCTGTGTTTGCGGAGGCTCGACTCCAAGGGTGCGCGCCATCGTGACGGGAGAAGGTTTTGCTAGAGCACTGACGCTAGGTTAGGTGGCTCTTTGACTCCATTCGGTCAACTGACATTCGGAACAATGGGTCCATCGTTTGGAATCGTCGCTATGTCTACGAGTGCATGGAGTGGGTGAAACGAGCACCGGGCGTTTCCAACCATCGCAACTAGGAACTCAACAAGAGTCCGAAACCTAAGTTTCTTTAAGTTTAATCTTCTTCTGTTAATTTTATAATAATAATACTAACTTTTTTTTATTGTTGATCCGAGGGCAAGAGGATGCTCAAGTCCGACTTTTCTTGTAAAGGAAAGTATGCACGGCGGTGCCGAAGGTCCTGTGCCATTAAATTCGCCGTGTCTTAGAAGTCCACGATTGCATCCATTGGGCAACTTAACTGACAAGTTGCGCTAGCGCTTGGTTGACGCGACTCCCTTGCAGGCTGGACCAACATCTGGACTTTTTATTCGGTCCAAGTCCCAGTCTACCCCCAAAACCTCTGGTGATCGTCCCGCCTCGCTGGGGCCGAATTCTTGCGACCTCGTGACGCCACTCCCCCCCCTTTTGTGGGCCACTTAATCTCACCCTCGAAGGTCCTCTCAGGACTTATATATATATATATATATATATATAAATAATTTTCACATTTATGGCAGTCGTACTTGCATGAGAAGTTGTCCCCAGCTGCTGTAGCTTTTAAGTAGTCCAGCTGAGAACTTGACTCCGCTTGTGTGTTCTTCAGTTACTACTACCTCTCTTGTTTGATTGCACATTGAAGATTCTGGTGACGCTTTGTTGTATGTTGAATCGAAGTTAAAATTCTGTACTGAGATTCACCGTTGTTAGGAGCTCAGGTTGGGAGCTCTTGTGGAGCCGATTGGATGAACTGGCATGGCATGTTGAGACTTGAATCTGGCTAGAAAGTTGTGTTACTTTATGTGGATTTGTGGACAGGAGGTCTGTTTTGGGATTCAGAGAGGGAGGGGGTCTGGTGAGGGAGTCAAGATGGAGCGGAAGTTGAGTGTTGGCATTCTGGCATTGCTGCTGGTGCCGTTTCTGTGCGTGTTGGATTTAGTAGCTGGGCAGAATTGCAACAGCACGGTCCCGTGCGCTGATCCAAACAACTGCTGTAGCCAGTATGGATATTGCGGAACCGACGATGCGTACTGCGTGATCGGGTGCCAGAACGGTCCCTGCCGCGACAGCCCCTCTCCGCCACCTCCGCCCGCACCACCATCGCCGCCTTCCCCACCACCACCACCCAGACCATCCGTCTCGCCCACACCCTCGTCTGGGGCTGGTCGCCTCATCACGCGCAAGCTGTTCGAGAAGCTCTACCCGAACTACAACAAGACGTTTTACTCCTACGATGCCTTCATTGTCGCTGCAAATGCCTTCCCCAAATTTCTGAACGAGGGGTGTCGCGAATCTCGTTTACGTGAGCTCGCTGCTTGGAGTGCACACGTGCAGCAAGAAACCGCAGGTGAGCTCGAAATCCTGCAGTTCGTTCCGCTGTCCTCAGATATCCATTGCCTTCGACAAAACCCTCACAAGATCGCAGTGCTGTGTGGAGATAGCTCTCCACCGAAACCTACATGTTTACTTTCAATTTCGTAGCTACTGCATCGTGTTAACCTGTGCCTGACTTCTGGTGATCAATTTCCATGGCAGGCCTGGTTTACGTTGAGGAAATTTCAAAATCTAGTGTCTACTGTGACGCTACCTCGACGAGGTACCCTTGTGAGCCATACCAGAAGTACTTCGGTCGTGGGCCTCTTCAACTCTCCTGGTATGTCCACGCAACCAACATTTCAGCAACAATGCGAACCCTCGCGTGGGTTACATTAATGCAGAGGAATTGTTTTTGGAGAAATTATCGTAATGGGGGCTGAGTTGGTTACGTTTTTCGCAGGAATTTCAACTATGGGCCTGCCGGTGAAGCTCTTGGCATTGACATCCTGAAGCGACCATTCCTGGTTTCTTTCGACCCCGTGTTGGCCTTTAAGGCCTCCATATGGTTTTGGAACACAGCCCGCGAGGGCGGCATTCCTTCCATACACGACGTGATCATCGGGAAATACAGGCCATCAGCAGCAGACAAGGCAGCGAACCGCACTGTCGGCTTCGGATACACCATTAACATCATCAACGGGGGCATCGAGTGTGGGAAAGGAACTGCTACCCCACAAGCAGCGAACCGCGTCAAGTACTTTCTAGAGTTTAGCGAAAAGTTGGAAGTGTCACCGGGGAAAAACCTCGACTGCACAAACCAAAAATCTTTCGCTTAGATTTCCCATTTCTCTATTTCGCCACTCTTCTTTCATCCAGTTGGCCTCAAACCTGCCTGCTTCATGATCGAATGAAGTGACTCCCTCATGTTAGAACTTTCTTAATAAGAACAATTTTGTCACAATTTTCTCCAACGCTCATCTCTGTGGGCCACAAACTTCCTCAGATTCATTTTTCGGAGTTCAGAGTTGCATGGCACCGCTTGATGATAAGTTCTCATGATGTTGTTCTGGCGATGTCTTTATTATTGGTCGCCACCAGGCTCTCTCGCTGGAGGGCTTGCTTTGTACCGTGAAGGTAGGGCCCTAGTTGGGGAATTGGTTGAAAGGAGGTTCAGTCATGGAAGAGACTGCACAAGAGGCAGCTCCACATTGATGGCAGTAAAGTCAATTCCAGTGTGGGCGAAGAAGTAGATTGCAGTGTTTTCGTGAGGTGGAAACACTCGTCGCATGCGCGGACAGCTTGAGATGCAGCAACACTTTTGAGCAGCATCAGCAATATGAGGGATAGCACACCAATCTGCCCCAGTACCCCACCATTGCTTTCAAAACGCGGGTTTTCTCGGGGCTGTGCAGCTTTCAACTTTAGAGACCTAATCGATGAATAATGCTTACGCCATGCTTCTGATAAGCTTGGGTTTTTCACTGGTTGACCATTCCCCGTACTACACGGTTTCCGAAATTGGAAAATGATGCTCCGAAACCCTTCCACTGAGTTTTTCTATCCGACAAGTTGGTGATGAGCTTGACAGTGCAAGAGATAATACCTCAACACTTTTTTTCATAACTCCCTACGTTTGATGTCTTTCAAGTAACGAATAATTGAGCAGAACTTTAGACGCGCACAGAAGAGAAGCAATAACCAAACCTCACCGGTAACTCATTTTGCCATGCTACAACAGTTCCACCAACTGGGCTTCGTTCTAATGCTAAAGCTCTTATTCACACACACACACACACATATATATATATATATATATATATATATATCTATCTATCTATATATTCCAATAATCGCTGTAAAGTATCCAACTTAGAGACTGCCAGTGAAGAAAGTGGACCGGGTCACTGCACAGAACCTTTAGCTCTGGTTTCTGCAGACCATGTTCCTCCGGAGTTGATAGAACTCTACTCAGATTTTATTTTTATTTTTATTTATTTATTTATTTTCATATTGAAGTTTTGTCCACAAAGAATATCACACAGTGGTTTACCAGGGCCCTGAAAATAAGCTCTAAATTACAGGTTAGCAAGACCTCTAAGATGTGTTTTTTCTTTACAATGCAGTCGTCAAGGGTCATTGTTCTGAGAGCAGCCTGAGACAAGAAAAGCAGTCACTTCACAACTCTAGTAGGTGATCGGAAGCTCCAAATGTCAAATGGTCTAGTGGGGCGTAGCACAAGCTCATGCTTCAGGCTATGTTTATCAATCTGGGTCGCAATTTTGTACCGTCAGTCCCTGCACCCAAGAAACATCAATCTTTGTCTTGAGTCTTCCTCTTGCTTTGCAATTACAAAAGCCTTTGTTGCCATTAAAAAACTCGTAACAGGGCATTGTTCAGTGCAAACTCCATCTTCATAACATCGCAGTGTCGGCTGTGAACTCATTTTTTATTCCGGAAATGCCATAGCAATTAGGTCTAGTTATATTGCATGAGTGATGTCCAGGCCTGTGTAGATAAGTTCTATCTATCTAATCTACCTAATTGATGTCATATGATGCAGTAATACTTCATCAAATTACGCTTGTTTGAGAGAAAAAAAAAAAAAAAAAAAAACATTCTGGTCACCACAATTAGAACCTACGTTTTTTGTTAAAATACTTGTTACAACAAAATTTTGGTCAAATTTGCATATTGCTAATGTAGTAGGATTTCTTTTTTGGAAGAAAGTATAAGCATTGAAGAAAATATCTTTGTAATATTTTAGATTAGAGAACTTGGGTGCTACAACTTTTTAAAAAGACATTAATTTTTCAAAACAGCCAAACAAATTAGGTATTAACCAATAATTGTCAAATTTTGTCAATTTTGTGTAATATTCTTTTCTTTTCTTTTTCAAAAATTGATCCTATTGCAATAAGTAATAAAAAATGGTTACATATATATTTTTGATCAATTTCTTCAAGCATTTATATCTTCTTCTTTAAATAATCCAACTACTTGGTAATAAAATAAGACAAGTTGTATTTTTTTTTGTGAAGAAATTTATAGAGAACTATTATCAAAATTATAATATTATTTTTAATATATATATATATATATATATTTATTTCTAGGCTACAATTTGATATAGGCCTTCAAATATGTATATCAACAGGTATTCAATAATGTTGAAAATAGACATTTTTTATTTATGATCTAAGACTTAAAACTCCAAAGTTTTGAAACTATTAAGATATGCAATAAGTCAAATATCATTGATATTTTGTGTGCTCAAGATCTTCTTGATAATTTTGTATTTTTTAGCTAAGTATTGATATTGCTAACTCAATCTTTGCTTACTAAGTACTATTAGATTAAATTAATTAGTACAATGCTACTAAATATATGTATAATCAAGAATAAAGAAAGAGGATATAAAAAAAAATATATGTATATATATATATATATATATATATATATATTTATATATAACAAAGTAAGAAGGTCTAAGAATAACTATTATCAAATACAAAGAAATTAAAGTAACTTGAATTAAGACTAGATTGTAAGAAGAATAATAACAAGAATAAATTTTGATTTTATATATTTTAATTAAAAAAGAGTCACATGGAAGCATCTTAAGGAATTTTTAGCTTATAGGCTAAGAATCCGAATTGTAGAATATTTCTAATGTTTTTACTTAAAAATAATGATTTAAAAAAAACTTTTCACAAATAAAAAGATATACCTAAGAATATCTATAGATCTAATCCACATCTAATTTTTATTTTATTTTATATATTTAACATATTTATTCATACTTCTATTTATATAAGTAATAGATATATTTATTATATAATTTTTTAAAAAAATATTTTTTATTAAAAATAGTCAAGTTGTTGAGAAATACAATAAAAATTAAAGTTGCCAAGATTGAAGAATTTTAAACAATTCTAAAGCTTAAGACTTGATAATTAGTAATATTTGAAATTCCTTAAGTCCAATAAATAAATGGTCTTTATTTTTCTTCTTTATGATATATACTCGCTTTTAATTTTACATACTTTTGATTTATTTTAGAACTAAAATTTGGTCTTACTTTGTAATTTGGATTTTGTTAAAAATTAGTAATTTAGATCTTATTTTTTTTTATAAAGGATAAGAAGTTTTAGCAATCTCCTTTTGTAAGAAAAATTACTTCATAGCTCTAGAAGAAATTTGTTTGTTTAAATGTGACATGATTAATCTTTCTTCATAATTAAAAGTTAATGCTCTAATGTGCCTTGAGTACCATTTTTTTCCATAGAAATATGACTTTGATACTCTTTTAAGTTCACTTAAAAGATTAAAAAAAATTATGATTATTAGACTTTTTTTATGTACTAATCTTAAGAATATAAATATATAAATCTATATTTTTATATTTTTTCTAAATTTTCAAAAAATATTTTGAATAGTTATTAATATTGCAATAAAATAAAGATTAAATAATAATTTAGTTTCTAACTTTTATTCATAATTTTTAAAAAATAATTTTGATTAATATTTCTTAATTTATAATATGCCATATATCTATCTTATACTTATAAGCTTGTAATATAAGATACATCATTAGATCTTTATACTATTTTTTAGAAAATTAATTTTAAATTCTTTAAAAAATATCAATGATCAAGTTTCTTAAATATTAGTCATTTTATCTATAAGAAAATATAAAGCTAATGAATTAGTATAAAAAATTAAAAAATTATTATAAAATAAAAGAAAATTTAATAAATTAGATACTTGATATAAATTTAGATCTTATAATTAAATATTAAATAAATAAATTTATATTTTATTAAATTATAAATAATAATAATAATATAATGATTTAATAAATAAGTATAATTTCATACCATATTATAACTTAATTTCATAATTAAAAAATATTATAATTAAAGAAACAAAGTATTGAAGCTTAATCTCATCCTATTATAAATTTTACATCTTTCTATATAGGTTGCTATCTTTTGTTCTATATATATCTTGTTAAGAATTCACTTACATAATAAAATAAGAAAGATATTAAAAAAAAGTTAACAAAACCAAATTAATGAAAGAGACACTTTAATTTGCAAGAGTAGGATTCCATCATTTAGGGACTAAAAAGATATTGATAAGAATAAAAAATGCTTTACACTTGCCTCCATATATACTATCTAACTAAGAGCTATGTAGCAATGTTCTATAGGACCTCCAACACATATTGACTTTGCAAGACAAGTGTCTTAATTTGAAAGGTAAATTTTCTATATGTGTGCTATATAATTAGCTTGATTTACAAGCTACCAACATGTGTGGCATGTGGTTAACTTGTTGACTAAGTTTCTAACCTATCAATCAATTATAAATATGTTTAAAGTCAAAATTATATCTATAAATCTTCTAAAAAGCTTCTAAGAAGCTTTTTTTAGAAGATATTATAAAATTAATCTATATTTTTTTTTATTTCTATCTAATCATATAGGTAATTATTGGAGTAAATACATATGTCTATAATAAAAAGATACATTTCTCTTTGACTATTCAATGAAATTGTTGTCCTTTTTAGTCATACTAAAGAATTATTTTTTGTGTATCAACTTTCCATGCCTAAAATAAAAAATCATTGTCTCAATTAAAACTAGTCATATATTAAATTATACGGTTTATTTCTTGAAATATTGCATCACGTGGATGTAATAAAATATAATTTTTTGATCTTTTCATACATTTATGGTGATTTGATGTATTATTTGACTTAAATTATTTTCTACATCATTTTTTCAAGTATTTCTAATAACTAAGTTAGATGTTCTTTTTATTCAAAATAGTCATCTACTCAAATTTTTAGTAAATAAATATACTAATAATTATTATTTAAGATCTAATATACCATATTTATATATTTTTTTGATGTGACATATTGTGGCACCTAAAATTAGTCAAGTCTTTATTTATAAGACTTGGA